CTTTCTGAAATAAGGAAGAATATCTAAAAGTAGCAGTTTAAAAGGTTTTAAAAGTTTGCTCTTGAATCTAGAAAAGGTACCACATGTACAAAATTAAATTTTGTGGGCATATTTAGAAAAAGACATCAGAAGCTGTTGTGAATTTATTTTCCCATCAAAAGGAGGAGTGGCCCCATGGAAATTTTTTTTTCTTTCAGTGTATTAGGAGGGTACAAACATTTTGGTTACATTTTATGTCTTTGCTTCACCCTAGCGAGGGTTACAGGCATGCCCTTCCCCTCTACAATGCTCACAGTGTCCTTTAGTTGTGAGTTTACCCCCTCCCCAACCCCCTAATCCCTGGAGAATATTATTGCCATGTGAGCACCAAACCTCTGTGGAAATTCTTTTCCACAGAGAAGATATCTTTGGAGATATATTTGGAGATATCTCAAAGGGCCTCTTGGAAGTTAAAAGATAATCGGAGACCTCAAAGATTAGAATGTAGAGTCTGGAAGCAGGGATGAGCTACGAGCAAGCAGAAAGACAGTGTGGCAGCCCTTTAATTCCTCTGGGTTCTTCAGCATTACCTACTTTCAGGAAAAGCTTGGGAGGCAACACCAAACACACAGTCAGCGGCACTAGCAGAGGGTCTTCCCCTTGAACTCATAGGGTCTCTTCCCTAACGAGCAAGATGGCAATGCCAAGAGTGAGTGTCTGACTAAGCCTGGCAGCTCCTGCAACTAAGACATAGGAAACTAACACGTAGAATTCTGTTTCACCTAAGAGGGTTCAAAACTTCACCTTCCTTTCCTTTTTCTCTCGCTCTTGGATCACTGAATTGGAACTGGAAAGTACTCCTGCTTAACATTTGTGAGGAAGATATGCATCCTACTGGGATTTAAGAGAATCCAATAAGTTAACCTCTGTCTTTTAAAGGAAAATACAAAATTAACAACTCTCATTTTTATATAAACACAAACAGTCCTTTTCATAATAAATAAGAAAATAGAAAAGAGGATTAATATAATTTAGAAAGTTGTTTTATCAGATAATTATTATTCTCTATGTGCCTATTTTTTTCAGCATCACAGAAGTTGCTGAATCCACATTCTATGATAACAGTGCAATAAAACTAGAAATTATTCACAAAATATAATTGACTCTCACCAAAAAAATTAGAAATTTAAAAGCAGTACTCTAAGTAATTTTGGGGTCTAAAAAAAAATAAACTCCCTACGTAATTGATTGTGCAATTATTGGAACCAACAAGTGGTATTTGTAAGGTGACCAATTTCAAACTGTAGTCTCAAACAACAACACCACACAAGATATAACACACACACACACACAAAAACAGTAATAAACAATAATAGAGCAATATCTATTATTATATTACTTTAAGAGATGTTTAAGAAAGAAAAGCATAACACATATGGACTGAATAAGAAAAATATGATAAATGGGAAATCATTGTAAGTATTTTTTACTTAGAATATCAAATATTCTAGGTATTTGAATAGAAGACTAAGTTGAAAGATGCTGATGTTTTTTTGCCAGATTAAATTCTAACTTTGATGTAGAATGTCTCCAAATCCTAAAAATAATATATGGGGGATTTGAAAAACAACTTTAAATTAATTTGGAAGAAATAGTACCAAGTAATATAAAATTCTTTGCTATAGCAACAACAAAATGAAAACATGCTGTATCAAAGGAAAACTAAAACTCTGGAGAAAAATCTGCAACATGTATATGACAAGGGTTAGTGTTTATAATACATAAAGAGTTCTTACAAATCAATAAGAGAAAGGCAAATACTATAACAGAAGAATATACATTATATAGCAAAAAGTTTACAGAAGAAAAGCTTGCCTACTAATATTGAAAGCTCTATCCTTGCCACCACTTTTCAATTACTAAATTATAAAATACAGAGAGAATTGGTAGAAATTGTCACAATAGTGCAGAGACATAGGCCTTTCAGTCTTTATGGATGAAATTATTAATTGATACCTTCTTTTCCAAGGAACATTTAAAACATGTATCAAAAGCTTCTAAAAAGTTGATGCTTTTGGACCCAGCAATTCCAATTCCAGGAACTTATTGTAAGAGAATAGTCAGAAATATATACAAAAATAATTGTAAGTGGTATTTAAAATAGCTTTATAATTACAAAAGAATGGAAGTAACTCAATATCCAACAATAAGCAATTAGTTAACCAAATTTTAGTAAGACTATTATAATATTCTATGTGCTATTGAAGAATTGTTTTATTTAGTGATATTGGGAAATAGTCACACTATATTGCTAAATGAGTAAAGTGGGATACAAAATACTATCTATAATAAGAGTAGAGTAAAAAGAAAGCTTGGAAATCTGCCAAAATGTTAACTAGTAGTTCTCTCTGAGTGGTAAAACTATGGGTCATTATTATTTTCTTCTTTGTATGTTTTTATTTTTTTCAAACTTTAGATAATGAATATATACTATTTTTATATTTAGATAAAATACAACATATATTATTTAAAAATGCATTTTTCATAATAAAAAAACTAAAATTATAATATAAGAATATTTTTGGTATTTAAAAAATACTTCAAAGTATCCTATATCATTTGAGTAGAAAAAGGTGATTTTTCTAAGAAATTCTCTGTATGAGACTATTCCATTTTGCTACTAATGCTGTGAGAACTGACAATTACCTTTGCCTTTAGTGGTCACCTTTATGGAGAGGTAAAGGACAGGAGCCTTAAGGGATGAAGGACTAAATAGATAGAGGAAACAAAGTGATGTATCACATTGCTGAAATGGGAGTCTCAGCGTGCACAGTCCTCTCTTACTATGGGTGGAAAACAGCTGAGGTTAGACACCGACCAAGTTCTTGCTTTTAAGTTTCAGTTTCAGAAGAACATCTGAGAAAAAAACTGACCAAGTGAAGCCTTTTCTGGTTTGACACCTAATACGTCCTTGATACTTAGGCCAAGGGTCCCATTCTTGCTGAACCTGAATTAGGCGATACCTAACTATACAGGCTCTCATCTACTTCCAAAGCCTAAACCTCCAGGGGAAGCCAGCAGATGTGGGCAAGTGGTGATTATAGTCCTGAGACAGAGTGACTACAGCTTCACTGTTATTTCTGAGTGAGTTATAATTTATAGATTATGCTGGTATTGCTTGGCTTTTTAGAATAGCCTTTTGGTTCAGTAGCTGCTAATTGTTTAATTATTGTTTATTATTGTTGTAAGCTATATTTCTTTATAGCCTGTAGACTAACTGAAAAAAATCTAGATGTCTTGTTAGCACAGATGAAACAAAGCTTCACATAATTGCTACTAAGTCAGACCGCTTCCCATCCCCTTGTTCTATTTCTGTTAGTCAGCCAAACAGATTTCTAGGGAAGATCTAAAACACTGCTATTTCAACTCTCTAATGATAATATTAACATTATTATAATAGGTAAGATGATATTTAACTCATATGTACTATGGTTAGAAAGTTCCTAAAATAAAGATTGACTTGATAACAAATCCAACTATTGCATAATTGTCATGAGTTGATGTCATCTCTGAACTATGTTATTTTTAAAACACTTTTTAATTTGGTATATTGAATGAATGAAGAAAGCTGATATTCAAAAAATTTTTAAAGAGAATATATTTGAACTATATTATGCTTATCATTTCCATGTTTGTCCTCATAGGATTAATATAGTTAAGTCACCATTTTGCTGTCAAAACCCACTTGAGATACATATTTCACTATTTGTTTCCAAACACCAAGAGGTCAGTAAGTAATTGCCCTTAGCAATTCACCTTAAAATAAGCAAGAGACTATATTCTAGTTCTGTTTTTCTCAAAGTAAAGTATTTGAATCAGCTATATCAGAATATTGGGAGGAGAAGAGAGGAAGGGAAAGAAGGAAGGAAGAAAGGAAAAAAGAAAAGAAGGAAGTTTCTTTTGGAAATATCATGTTCTTACCTCAAAAGGCAGCTCTAGGTCCAGTTTTATTTGAATAAGCTTTTTGTTACCAGGAGGTGGTAAGTGGATGAGAAATGTCAGGGATTTAGAGACATGGACCATCAGATAAAAAGCAAGGGATGTAGACAGGAAATTGTCAGAAACTAAAGACAAATTTAATTGACTTTACAGTTTTGCCTAGAATTGTACCACATTGGGTGATGCTACTTATTATAATAGAAATGCTCATGATCATCCTCATCATCATAGCTGTTATTTAATAAGTGTGTAGGCACTTGCTAATAAGTGGAAAGTGAGCATGTCCTACATATATTACTTCATGTAATCCTCCCAAGAACTACTGAGTAGGTATCTTTTTTGATAAATGGATAAACAGAGGCATAGGCTTAGGCCAAAGAACTTGCCCACAGTGATATAGTTAATATGGAATATGGGATCTGAACTTTGGTCTTTGGTCTCTGTGATCCTGAAGTCTGTGTTTAGTAATCAGCTACAGATAACAGGAATTTCTACAACAGCTTTTACTGTCAAATTTATAGGAATCATGTGACAGCTTTTATGCTTCTGTCCACATAGAGTGAGTATTGGGGTCAAATCACTAAAATCCACTAATGGATGAAATGCTCACAGTGTAGTCAGTGCTAGTAGTTTTAGCAATTTAAAAGAGTGGTGATGATTGGTGTCATAAAAGCCATAACACACGTTTCTAGAAAGGAAAAGGCAACTACACTGCTTTTTTCAATCATTTCATTGCATGTGCACTTGGCAAATCTGTCACTGCTTCTGGCTATTGTCTTTTTTTAATGCAAGTATTTCTCTGCATGGATTTCTTTAATTCATGACCTTCTTCTGTATATTGTTTTCTTTGTGAAATCATAGCTTGGGAGTTGTTCAATCTTAAGAGATTTTAAAAACAAGGTCACATTTTAATGTGAATGTTTTTAAACCGACCCCACTTGTTTAAAGGATATGCAATAGCTCAGCCATGTTCCCATGACCTGTTTTTATACCTTTTGATATTTTTTATGATCTTCAATCAGTTGGCCAGATAATAACTGAAGCTGTGGCATCAGGCTGCCACAGCCACTGTGACACTGAGTCTGGTGTTAGCAGCGCAGATGAGGAGTGGAAGCCCTCGAGGAAGCTGGAGGTGGACACAGGTGGAGGTAAGGGTGCATCATTACCTAGGGGAGACCTTCAGAAATCCTCTGCAAAAGACAGCCTATTTCCATCTTTCATTCTCTTATCCTTGTTTCTTCCTTCTGCTATCTTTAAAAAAAATTTTTTTTGTTATTTTATTTATTTATTTATTTTGAGACAGTCTTACTTTGTTGCCCAGGCTAGAGTGAGTGCCATAGCATCAGCCTAGCAACCTCAAACTCCTGGGCTCAAGCAATCCTACTGCCTCAGCCTCCCGAGTACCTGGGACTACAGGCATGCACCACCATGCCCGGCTAGTTTTTTCTATATATATTAGTTGGCCAATTAATTTCTTTCTGTTTATAGTAGAGACAGGGTCTCGCTCTTGCTCAGGCTGGTTTCAAACTCCTGACCTCGAGCAATCCACCCGTCTCAGCCTCCCTTCTGCCACCTTTTCCCCCCTCTCTTCAACTAATGAATACGATGACCAGAAGTGGTTGGAAGGCCCTAAGGGGAGCTTTAAAACTAACATCAGGTACGAATGTTGTTATTCTTTTTTGAATACATTGGTGCCTAGGGTATGAAAAAAATGACTTTAGATTATAAAATACTGGTAGGTATTTTGAGACTAGTCTTCTTTCATAGCCTGCCTCCCAGTTATTTGACCAGGTAGGTGAATTTGCCCCAACTGACCCAATTGGAGACCTCAAGAACCAAGGGCGCATTTCACAATGATTCATTTGAATGTCTTGATTTTTTTCAACTAGAAAAGAATTCATTACCATCAGCATATGACCTGTGTCTTGGTGACAAACATTCCATCTGCAAGAGTGCCAGTTAGAGTGATCCGGTAGACCACAACTCATACATATCTCGTCAAACTTCCCATGTCCTTGACATCAGGGTTTCCCAAATTTAGTGAATGATTTTTTTAAAAAAGTCCTGATTTGAATATATGTATGTATGTCATGGGGAAGATAATCATTTTATTCATCATATGGTCACATTACCCCCACCTTTAATATTAAAAGATAGTCAGCAAGCACTGTAAGGCATTTGAGATTTTAGCCTACTTTCGAGCGAACAACTTAGCCAGCCATAGTTTTATGGATGCTGGCAGAAGACATGAGACTCCCAGCTCAGAGAAAAATTACATTATTACTTACAGCAAATAGACTATTGTATTTATGCTGGTTCCTTACCTCCAGTTCTTCCTGGGCAACATAAAGAGGGCCAGGTAACACTTGAATATGCAGTGAGCTGAGTTACACCAGAGGGACCCTGAGCTTGGAGAACCCAAATCTTCCATGGTGGGCATTCAACTAGAGGCATTCTAGTGCATTTCCCTATTCATTTTGCCATGCAGGCATAGTAGTTATTATTGATCAAATCTAATTAAAGCAAAGAAACCCTATTTAATTGTAAGCAGTGGAAGGAGAGTGTGGAAGGAAGATGTGTTAGGCATTCTGTATGTCGGGCACTGTGCAAAGCATTTTACATAAGCTATCACATTTACTGTGACGAGGATTCTATGTGTCCAGCATTGCTATTCCCATTTTATGGATAAAAAAATGAAGGCTTAGAGAGGAGTTACTTCCTAAGTTCATACAATTCGTAAGTGGCAGAGCTGGCATTTTCACTGAGTTTGTCTGATTCCCAAGCACATACTCATTCCACTAAGTCAAATTGCCACTGTTTGTGAGTATTGCTTGCTATCTTATATTAAATATTTTTTCAAAAGCCCATGAAGTTACCATCAAAAAACATGTCATGTTTCATACTGATATTTCTCAGAAAGGCTTCAATTACTCTTTCTCCCTTGCTTCAGGCATGTTATGGCTGACTCCGTATAGTGTGTGTGTTCATATAATAGCCCAACTGGATGCCATTGGCACTTTCTTTCCTAGAATTTAGACATAGTATATTATTACATGGTGGCTAGGTGATTTTATTCCCCTGCTTTCCTGAATGTTTTTTAATTAATCCATAAATTTAGAGGCTGGCTTAGAAAAATAGAGGACTTTATTTAAATGTTTGTCATAACTGACTTTTTAATATACTTCATGAAGAAATTTGAATAGCAGCAGATATACTATTGAGACTTGACACACATTATTGTTTCTCATTGTTTCAATTTACTTTTGTTTTAAATCCAGTAATAACCTATAATGAAATAAAATGGACCATATTTTCTCAGGTGCATTGGCTACTTTGTTCTCTGAGTAAACATTTGATTCTACATTTCTCTTTAGGAGCGTTCAGATAAAATTTAGAAAATAACTATTGTGATAGGCAGAGGATAACCTATAAAAGTCAACCTCAGCCCCATGGATAGAACTGATATTGTTTTTACTCCTTTGAAAGAAGACATCATAAATTACTTTCTAAATACATTTTCAAGGGAAATGTAATATCAGCTATTATTGCTTTACCTCAAAATGGTTTTCATAGTAGCTGGCAAGAAACTGAAGAAACACAACAAAGAATAGCCACGCTTTGTGTTAGGAGAGGTAATGGAATGGTAACACAGTCTTGGATGGGGTATAAGAATAAGGAAGAAGTGAGTAAGAACAGACTGTTAGGTTTCTGGTAGGTTGTTGGTGATGGTGTTGGTGTTAAGGTGGCTAGCCAAAATGGCAAGCAAGTAAAAAATAAATGAGGAAGACACATTTGCCAACTTCTTAAGTTTATGTAATTTAGAAGTTAACACCCTGATGTGATAATTTGTTTTACAGCATCTAGTTCAATGTCTCTTTAAAATGAAAAAGAAGATTAAATGGTAGAAATTATTAAGATGACTATTTCAAAGCTCCTATCTCCCTAATGACTACTGTTCTGCAATTGGGAAATTTAAATGTTTTTGGCATGTGGTATGATGTACCTTTCTTAACTTATTTTGCATGGAGCAAAAAATATATGTCTTTTTTTATAAGTCTAAAAAAATATATATCTTTGTTAAATAATAAGAAATTCAATTGAAGCCTTTTAAAAAAACATATCAAACCTATATTTATTGAAGCATGATAAATAGTACACCCAAATTTGCCAGGGAATTGTGGATATGGACTTATAAAATACTTCAAGAAGATTATTTATGTTGAAAATTGTCCTAGTCTACAAATGTTCTGTGATCCTGTTTTGCCAAAGGCAAATTAGTTTCTGAACGTACATAAGAGGTATTTTGACCTATAATACAAATTGGTGTCTTCAGTAAAAAGTCTTTCCTTAAGCTACAAAGTTTTTTGATGACTAAATCTAGATACGGTAGCTTACAACATGGGAATAATAATGATCAGCTCACTGTATTATGATTGTGTTGCTAAATGCCCACCTGAGTACCAAAAACACAGGCAGAAGATGGACATATTATGGTGCTATTGGGAATAATGATTTTTAAAAAGAAGAAATACTCACTATTTTTCTTATTACAAAATTTTCCTGCAAGTCTTAATATTTCAAATGAAAGTAGGAGGTTTGTATGTGTGTGAGGGAGAGAAAGAGAGAGAGAAAGCGGGAGATAAGAGAGACAATGAGAAGGAGATTTTATTGATTCTAAAACATGGGGACATGAAGGTTTTATTGATTGCTCATTTTCAACATTTCTGATGTCCAACTTTCCTTTATTGAATTTGAAAGTATTTCTTTTCATAATGAAAAGCCATTGTTATTAAGTCATGATGTATATTGATGGCATCACAGAACTAATGGAGAACATGTTTTATATATAAAGTCAGTGGCTTCTTGATGTCACATATAAATATATCATATTATAAATGCATGTAAGATTATAATAGCTCCTCCTTTGTCCACTTGGAGTAAAGTAACCTTGTTTTCTAACCTTATTTTTATAGCATCAAGTAAGAAGTTAGTGGTGGGGGAAAGAGCGACAGTCAACTCAAACAAGGAACCCAAGCAAGTTGCACAAGAAACGGATACACTGGGGAAGAAAGAAGCAGTGGAGGAAGATGAAACTCCTCAGCACAGAGATGCTGCAATAGAGGGAAAAGGGGATGGAGCACTGTGGGGAGGAGCAGGGGTTGAGGAGGTTCCCTTGGGGGAGGGAAAGCCAACGGCAGAGCCAGCATTAGTAGAACCGTCTGCAGAAGAAAGAGACAGCCCTCCAGCCATAGCAAGTGGGGCCCAGGCAGGGGCAGAGGCCGAAGGGGCAAGAAGGCTGTGTAGGGTGGGGTTAGACCCCATAGGAAAAGCAGCAACAAGAGACACAGCGGGTCCGAATAAAGATGAGGCTCAGGAAGAGCAGGCCTTGATGCTAACCGCGCTCGAGACAGTGGAGGCAGCTTCTGAGGGGAAACAGGGTTTGGGGAAGGCAGCGCTTTCAAACAAGGCAGTGGCCCTGAACCCAAAGCATCTTCAGGAGGCAGCAGCAGCCCGGGGAGAGGCAGTGACACCAGAGAGGAGAGAGGCTGGGAGAGGGGCGGCTGGGAGTGAGGCAGGGTCCATAAAACCAGATCCGAAGGGAAGTGAAGAGGAAACATTCACAGACCTAGAGGACTTGGGAAAAGACACAGTATCTGAAAGAGAGGATGGCTCTGAAGAGGCAATTCTTGAGGGAGAGGAAGCAGCCAAAGAGAGGAAGGAAGTTGTGAGAACAGAAACGCCTTTGAGCCCCTCAGCCGGAGAGGCAGCGGCCAGCTGGACGCGGGCCTTAGAGGGCAGCCCTGAAGTCCTCTGTGAGGAAGACGCAGAAAAGGAGGAGACTGTGACTGAGGCAGAATCTAATAAGGAAGATGACAGGAAGGAATCATTACCTGAGGAATTAGATGTAGCAAGAAAGAGGAGGAAAGCTGAGAGGCCAAAAACACCTCTGAGGGAAACCGAATCTGAGACAGAAGAGGTGACAAGGGCAAATGAACTTAAGGACGAAGACACTTTAGAGGAAGAGCAAAAACTTAAAGGGGAAAAGGAGAAAACAGCGAAGGAAGAAAGATCTGAGGAAGACCCTAAAGCTCCCCCAAATGAAATGGAATCTGATGCTGAGAATGCAGCACCGGAGAAGGCATCTGAGTTGTCTGAAGATCCAGGGCTTCTAGAAGATTCACTGAGAGAGAGAGAGGCTAGCATGTTTGAAGCCACACCTGGATTTGAAAAGTCACTGGAAAATGTAACAGTTCTGAGAAAAGAAGGAAGAGAGGGGAGACTGAGCGAAGCCGGAGACACACAGCAGGAAGGCAGCAGGGCAGAGCTGTTGGACAGGGACAATGTGACCCCGGAGGACAAGAGCTCTGGCCGGGGAGAGGGTGCCTCGGGCGCTCCTGCCAGTGAGCCGGAAGGAAAGGCACAGGCCCCCGAGGTGGAGGTGTCCATCCCAGATGTGGTGGAGGAGCCTGAGGCCAGAGACCAAGACTGCCTCCCAGGGCTGGAGGGGAGGGATGAGGAAGCGCCTCTGCCTGTAGGAGAAGGAGTGGGGACCATGATAACCACCCAGGAAGATGCTCCTGAGGGAGATCGAATGGTGGCAGGAAAGCTCGGTGAAGAAGGGATGGATGAGGACTCAAAGGAGGAGGATAAAGAGTGCGCTCTGGGGACAGGAGTGATGCAGGACAGGAACACAGAGGGGCCCTGGGGCATGGGAGGAGGGGCCGCTGCGGCTGAGGAAGATCTACACCAAGGAGGAGGAATGGCAGCAGAAGCCGCTGCAGAGAGGGAGGTGTTGGCAGGTTCCCAGACAGCTGAAGGGAAAACAGTAGCAAATAAAGCCTCCTCCTTTTCAGATGTTGCTGAGAAAGAAACTTGGCACCAAGAGGATGAGTTACTAGGCAAAACAGCAGCTGCAGAGAGGGTGGCAGTAGAGGAGTTAGCGCTGCCGAGCAGGGAGGGGGTGCCAGCGGTGGAGGAGGTGACAGTGACGTCAACACCAGAGGGCTGGGTGGGAGCTCCCCAAGAACCTTTTCCTCTGGAAGGGGAGGCCCCAGGGCAAGGACAGGACCAAGATGGAGGGGCAGCTCGAGAGCAGGCAGCAACCTGGAGTGGTGATGGAGGGCAGGAGCTGGGAGCAGTGGAAGAATCCCAAATAGGATTATCACAGGAGAGACAGAGACCACCCAGTAGTGAGGGTCTGCAGGAGGTGACAGCACAGGTTCCTGTGAACCCCGATTTCACTGGAACGCAAGAGAAGCAAGAGCATGCAGTGCAAAAAAAAGAGGATGCAGATGTTTCCCTGAGTGACTTGAAGGCGTAGGAGGCTTCCTGGCAGGCGGTGAGTTTAAGTCTGATCTGTTTGCAGGACTGAATAGAAACCCTGCAGTGGGTCTCCTGCCCTGGGGACTGACATGCCCCTTTATTGGTGTCTGGGCACACGTAAACACATGGGCTTCAATTCTGTGCCACTTGGCCCCAGCCGGGCAAGAGAGGGGCTAGGGAAGATGGAGCAGGGGCCAAAACCCACGGCTGTTCCCTGTGTGACCAAGTGACACTCTGAAGCAGTGAGATCCCTGTCTCCCTGACAGGGCCCCAAAGATGAAATACAGAGGATACAGGCCACAGAAGTACAGAATCAAACGTTAGTCCAGAATTCATTTCCATTTTAGTGTTTTCAAGGATGGAATGAAGGTTGTCTGTGATCATTTGCCTTTAAATGGGCTCTGTGCCTTCATTTATGCAGTTTTTTAAAAGTTAATCTGTATATACCTTTTATATATGTGACATAAATATTATATATTGTTTAATATATATTTAATTATACAAATATTGAAGAGGGGAACTAAAAAGCAAAAAAAAAATTTTTTTTTTTGCATATCCTGGTATTGCCTTGATGCCCTCACATCCTTGTTAGGTCTGTCTTGATGTTCTGGCCTCGGTTCTCAGTGTCCAGACTGAGTACTGGTACTGAGTTGAGCCGATGACGGAATGGTCGCTAACACAAAGCAATCCCACACAAACAGTTTATTACAGAAAAAGAAGAAACTTTACAAAGTGAAAGTAAAGAAGGAAGCTACTCAAAGTGAAAATATGTTCCAGAGAGAGGAAGGGGTCAGTCTCCACACGTGGAAAAAGATGTTGGGGACTCCCAGGTGGTTTCCTTTTATTGGCCTGGTGCGATGGAGGTGGGCTTACAGGAGGCGTGGGATAGTACCAAGTGAATATCAGGTGTTCTGCATTTTCCTGCAGTCCCTTCCCCTGATTGGTCCGTGGCTTCTCTGCCCCTAGGAACCACCCTTCCTGGCCTCCTGCAGATTTGACCCCTACCTAACATCGTTAGTGTCTAATTTCTACTCTTTTGAGTGATTGTATCCACAGTACTACTATTCTTTTTGTTATTTTTCAGGATATTTAAAAGATGTCTTCTGGAAGATATAAAGAATGGAGAAAGATTCACCCAATCATCTCACCAGGACTTGAAATTTTTTTCCTTTTTTTTTATCACTGTGTTTGAGGTGGTTCTCAGTCTGTCAGTGCCGGTCAGTAGCTCAGTAAGCAAAGCACTCTGAGGATGGCTCAAGTAGATCTGCAGGACCCTCCACAGGAGCTATGGTCCCTAATGGAGAGCTGTAAGGCTGTCACACGTTCTATACAGCTATATTTGTCTATATTCAAATACACATGATGGCTTTCAAATGTTTGACTTTTACCAAAGATCACCAAAAGGCCCAGTCCTGATGTCTGGAGTTTGTTTCCTTTTTTATTTTACAATCCATAATCTCAGTTTCATAGCCCCCAATCCATTCCATAATCCGGATTTCATATATGGAGTTTTATTTACAATTTGTGGCTCAGGGCTTTAATGATTTGGTCTGTGAAAATGAGCTCTAAAGTTCCTTCCATGTACACTCAAGACTAAAGATTGCTCCAGAGCTCTAAGTCCTTCCAGGAAAGGACTCCATGGCATGTATATTCACTTATACTTAGAAATATTCATTCTTTTCATTTATGCCAGAAGAGTAAAGTCGAAATCTTATTTCAAAATACTCTTTGAGTTTTTGTGTGTGTTTCTATAGTTCTGCTTTCTGAGGTAGACTAGAAAAATGGTAACTTCCATGTTGTCGCTGGGGGCCTTATTTATAGGGCCACTCAAATTTCAATCATAGTAGTAAATAATTTAGCTAAGTGGAATAAGTATAATAATTATAGAAGGTAAACAGCACATCAGCACATACACCAGCAGTCTAGACTGATGTCATTCATGGCAAAGTAACCTGGATTAAATTAGTGTGCTGCTCACCTTCCCAAGTTCTGTTATTTCAAACCCATGAACTAAACTTGCAGTCCACTATAAATCAACAGTCACAATTACTTCCTAAATTACCCTGATATTATTTTCTAGTTGTGTATCAGCCTGCCTCCTAGGAGTTTTGATTTCCTTGAAGACATACCAGTGCCCCACAAGGCACTTATTTGTCTACCTTTTCTCTATGTGATGAGGTGAAAGAATTTCCTAAAGTTGGGCCACACGTTAGACTTTCTTAACTGGCTCAACCCTTGGCCCTACCCTAGAGAATCAGATTTTCAGATTTCATTAGTTTTATATGGGCCTATGCACCAGTATATATATATGTGTGTGTGTGTATATATATATATATACTTTTCACGTGATTCTTCTATGTAGCCAAAGTAGAGAATCGCTGCCCTAAATCATCACACAATCCATGCTGGCCACCCTATACTTAATGTCCCTAGGGACCAGGCATATAACTGTTATAAGTTTTTTTTTTTTTTCATTTTAATGAATAATGGAGCCATTTAGTGATCAAAGATATACTGTTCTGGATATAATGAACCAGATAAAGGACCGGTCCCTTGATCAGGAACATCAGCATCACCTGAAATGTGTTCCTGGTCTCTCCTTCTACCTATTAAATTAGAAACTGTGTGTGGGGCCTACTAAGCAAAGTTTTAATTGGTTTAATCCAGGAAATTATGTTGTGCACTAAAATCTGAAAACTGCTGTCATGGACTATAATTGCACTGAGGATTAGTCTCAGAAAATGGATTGCAAAAGCACTGTGAACTTTCCTTCTTTGTCTATGCCTCTGTCTCTTTCTTTTTTCTGTCTTTCTTTTGGTTTATTTGCCTCTTTCTCTTTTTTTCTTTCTTTCTCCAAGAAATGACATTCACATAAAAGTGGTGAAGTCAATCTTAAATTCATTTTTGTTATGATTATATTGATACATATATGAAGACTCTTGTTCCATCCCTTATTGAAGGATAAGTATTATTCATTGCACATCATAAATCTCCATCACTCTTACGGTTTTGAGTGGATTGCATCTTCATTACAATTAATTTCACTTATTACTGAGCTGTGTTACTGGGGAGCTCTATAGTATCTGTTTCCTGATTTCAACCTCAATGCTACAGAGCACTTTGAATGCATAGCACCTTATGGGAAAGATTGTAAACTTGTTAATTCCATTTAAAAATGAGTTTTGTACAATGTGCTAAATGGAAATTGCATTGAATTATTTTTATATTTAACACATTCTATCAAAACATTCTGTAACACAATTATTCAACCTGCATGTGGGTTTAACTGTGAAATTCAGTGTTGTGATATTTTGACTAAGTGAATTATTTCTCTGCAAATCCTATGTTGATAAAATTATTTGTACGTTCAACTGAACTGATCTTCCCTAGTTTCTTCAGTATTAAAAACATAAATAAATCATATATTTACGTACGTATGTGAATAGTTTTTTGTATATTTATTAGAGTAAACCTAAAAAATTTTTTTTCGGATTCTTTCCTTACAAAAGTTGAACTCCAAAGGGTAGAGAAGAGAAAATTAGTTGCATTGGGCTATATTTTTGAGTACAGTCTATGTGTTTATACTGACTACATTCATACGCATCTTTCATATACATGGGGTAATGTCAGAGAGGAAAATTATTATCACCATTTTATAGATAAATAAACAAAAGCTCAATGAAATCAAGGCGCTTGTCAATCAATGTCAATCTCAGGTCATCTGACTACAAATACTGATACTAAGATACTATATGTGAACCTCTACATGGTTTTGTTCACTTGTAGAAGGAGAAAAAAAATCAACCCTCATTCAAATATGCTCTATTAGAAGGGAGTTATATTTCCAGGCAGTGTCAATCAAAGTACAAAGTAGATTATTTAAATAATTTAAGGGAAAAATTAACAATGAAAGGAAACATAGGTAGAATTAGGTTTTCTACTTGGATTTCCTGAGGTTAGCCTTTTGTATGGCTTTATAAACTCTTGTGTTATAAATTTAAAGTACAGTTGAGTTCCTTAGCCCTTATAAGATCAATAATTTTGCCACAATTATTGCCCTTGGAAAAATGATTGTTTGAGAAAAGAAAAGAAAGCCTTAAGGAAGATTCATTTAGTAAGTGAAATATTCCAACAGGCCCAAGGACAGCCCAAAAGAGGCCATTTCTGACCTTGGGTAATATTTCCTCACAGTCTTCTGTACCATTCGATTATGTCATTAAAAAAAATTCCCTGTCACCATGGCCAGCAGCAAGAGATACGAGAGAACCGGGAATAAAATACAGCTGGAATTCTTTAAAAGTTGCTCTCAAACTCACCCTTCTTTTCTTCTTAAGGTTTTTTTTTTTTTCTTTTTTCCGATATCATGCCCTGTGACAGGAAAACTGTGCTCTTTAAAATATCTAGAAACTAACTCTATAAGATAAAATGCTAGATATTTGAGAATGCACATGCCTTTTGTAATTTCTTCCAGAAGTTTCAGGCAGTTTAATCTGTGCAGCCCTTACAATATTTTGGAATGTTGCAACACCCCAGTTTTTTACTGGGGAGAATGAATTTCACAGATAATTTTTGGGACACAGAAGCTGGTGCCAAAGTCTGCCTCCTTTGTCAAATGTTTCCTGGTCTTTATTAAATATCTACCTCTTATTAAAGGTTATATTAAGGACCCATAAATTATGAGAGAAATCTTACCGTTGTCCAGGAGCTTGGCACTAATGTGATACAGAGACCTTGAGTATGCCCCTGAGGGAAGAGGAAGTTTTTCATGGCAAGTTTGCAGGTGCTTGACCTCCATATGCACTTTATCTGAAAACAGACCGGAGAACTAGCCTGACGCAGTCAAGGTCTTCCCTTTTGCCAGTCCTCCACCTTTCTTCATAATAATGGCCAATTCTTCATTCCATTACCAATTTTACTGTGATGCAATGGGCCCTAGTATGACACAAATGAGACAAAGGAACATTGTGAAATATGGTGTAGGGGTTGAGAAAGGGAATGACTTTAATGATTGGGTAACAAATCCCTCTGAAAACCAGGTAGTTTCTAATCCTTTGTGTTCAACAAAGCTAAATAAATGAGGCTCTGATTGAATAAGTCATTACATATTTTTTTTGGTATTTTATCAGTCTGAATCTTGGTAAATCACTCAGAAGGAGTTCAAAGAAGAGCATTGCTGCACAATATAACAAATCTACTTCCATTCCCATCCATTGATGGGCATGCATAAATACTATATTGATGTAGCATGCATAAATACTATATTTTTACATCCATAAAAACAAAGCAGAACATGGAATAGAACTGATGTTTAACACTCTTATTCCAGCAGTAAATAATATTTGTTCACAGATACACTAATTAAAAATAGAAATAATCTTAGAGATGCATTTCTACTTTTACTTACATGGAACGCTTACCAAAATTTATAATATATGCATGCTGTTTTAATGTGTTTTACTACTAATTGCAGTGATTGCTCAGTCCAGAAGACATTTTAACACATAGAGCCTTATGGCCATAAGGGATTTATAAAAAAATTAAATTTTAATTTATATAATAATTCAGTGGCAGAGAAATATGACTGGGTGGGTGAGCAGTGAAAGACTTTCGACTATAAAAGTATACTACAGTAGTATAAAAATATTTGGGCAAAGTGGAACAGAAATGTAAGTTTAAGAAAAAAACAATAACATGAGATTTTCTACCACTAAAGAAGAGCTTAGTCATGCACTTTTGAAAATGAACGATTTAGGCCAGGTTCCCCCAGAAATACTCTGGAACAGAGGTTTGTGTGCAGAGGTTTTTTGGGGTATGCTCTGGGAACAGCTCTGAGATGGATGGAAAGCAGACATGGGTCAAGAGGCAAGATGGGCTGGAATGTAGTTGCCACGGGGGCTGCAGCCTTTCTGTGATGAGATCAGCAGCTGGGATGGCCTGAGGGAGGCCAGGAGCCAGGCCTCTAAGTCCCCACAGTGTACCAGTAGCTCCATATTGGCTGCCTCCTCGAAAGGGAGCAAAACTTTGGGCTAGGTGATCCCATCCGTCAAAAGCAATTCCCGTGGAGAAACTTGGATGTTGTAGCCTTCCCTAGGCAGCTGGGGAAAGAATGCATCCACTGAAAAGAGGGTCTTAGGGTGGCACCCCGCAGCATCCCTTATGTGGATAAAGGTGATATCAAATTGCTATGGCATTTTGATTCCTTTGAATACATTTGGATACCATTTTACCTTAAAACATCCTATTTTATAACACGCTAGAAATGACATCTGTAACTACCATTTAAACTTATGAAAATTTTTAGATGTCAATAAAAAAAAAAGTGTGAGGGGATGCTGACAGTTTTTCAAAACTCTTTCAGAGGTATGTGACTAAAGATATTCTGATCCCACTAGTGTGAAGGACAAGGTGACTAGCACAGGGCCATGTTTCTCAAGCTACATGGCCTGGCAGTCATCCCAAGCGAGTGGCCAAAATTTTGATCAACGTGTGAGGTTTGCTCTGGCTACATACTATTAAAGTGATGTCTGTCAGCAAAATGAATGAGTGGGTCATGCAGCCTCGTGTTGCTACAAGGAAGAAGACTCCAGAAGGCTCCTAGCACAATGTGAAGCTGCTTCTAGGCACAGAAGCACGCACCTCCAGTGTGTCCCAGGACACAGGGAAGTCAACAGTTGTCTTCAAGCAGCATCTCAGTGCTAAACTGCAGTGTGCTGCAACAATTTTCTATAATGGCCCAGATTTTAAATATTTCAGGCTTTTGGGGATACAAAGTTGCAACTATTCAACTCCGCTATTTTAAAGCTGCCATAGTCAATACTTAAAATTTGAGTTGGTGTGGGTGTGTTCCAATAAAACTTTACGTAAAAAGGCAAAGTGCCGATTTGGCCTGAGGTTTGTAGGCCTGCTAAAGAGCTATCAAGTAAATAGCTCCATAATTATGTAGAATAATTCCCCACTCCCTAATATGGCACAGAAATTTTAATTTTCAAAAATATGCCTTAAACACAAGTATTTGGAAACAACTAGAGTAAGGATCTAATTGACCTTTCACCACTTGGCGGCATGGATAATTTATTAGAATCTTCCTCTCTTTTGGAGACTATTATTGAAAAGCTTCATTTTAGTCAGGTTTTTTTTTTTCCTTAGGATATACAGAAGTAAAAGCTTATTCATTTATCTGAGAAAGAAAGAAGGAGAGAGAGAAATTTTTTTTAGTCAGGGTTTCAATCTTTCTTTCCCCTCCTTATCTTCTCTGCTACATCTGTTAGAATGCAAATGTGAGATGTTGCGAAGAAGAGAAAAAGAACTGTAGAACTCTGACAATGACATTTCATGTTTACACAGGCTGACTTGTTCTTCAATAGAACGTTAGCTCCATGAGAGAAGAGATATGATCTGTTCTGGTTCATGTGCAATTGCCTGTGCCAAGAACAGTGTCTGGCACTTGGCATGTGCTCAATAAATACATGGTGAATGAATGAATACATAAATTAACATGCAGATCAGGGGAACATTGTTATATGTTCTGAAAAATGTTTAAGTCATTAACATTTGACTGATGTTGGTAGAATATAGGAAGCATCTAAATTTGTTGACTAAAGAGAAAAATAATTGTTTTCATAAAATGTTAGAGTTGGTCGGGACACTAGAGATCCACCTGTGACTCTTCGTGTATCAGATTCAGAAAGCAGAGGCCCAGCAGGTCTGAGGAGTGGGCTACACATTTGTTAGTGACAAAAACAGTACTGGCACTTCTATCTTTAGTCTAGAGCTTATTTCACTTCAAAATGCTGTTTCTCATTAGTCATATTTTCTTTTCAGAGATATAAAATCTTCAGGGTTTTTTTTTTAGAACAGCTAATTTAGTTCTTGCCTTGCAAACGTGGAAATATTTCAAATACAGTGTAAGGTGAAACATTTGGTTGTCTGGATTGTAGATGTCCCTGATGTTTGTCACTGCCCTTTTGTAATCCCTACTGAGACTATCAAGGTTTATAGTTAGAGAGAGACACCAGAAATCCCATATAGTAGTTATTTTACACACACACACACACACACACACACACACACGCACACACAACTGTCACTAATTAACTTAAAGGAAAGAAAACCTCTGAGGATGAATGGAAACTCTCCCCACTGAACTAATCATAATTAGTGCACCCTACTTAGCACAGAACTCTCCAGTATAATTCTACAATTTATAAACATATTAAACATATACAAATTGACTTAACAAACTCAAATCTAAATCACTCATTTTCAACTTTGGTCTCACATTAGAATTTTCTGGAAGAGATTTTTCACATTTTTAGGGGCAGGAGTCAGGCATCAGGACTTAATAAAATCTCCTCAAGGTGATATGTATAGCCAAGCCATCTCCATGCCGCTAAGCTAAGAACTTCCAATGCACAGTTCTACTATAGTTACAAGAATAATGCTGGGGTGGTTGTTCTATCACCCAAGAGGCAGTATTTGAGTCCTATGCTGTTAGTCTGCAAGATGGGAAATATCCTTTCCTTCACCACTGATGCCTCTTCTGGAGCGAAATGTTTCTCCGTTAATAATCAGATTCTGTTGTTTGTCAGATCTTAATCTCCATTTGCAAACTATAGATCTGCAAAGCTGAGTCTTGGTAGATTTGTGGCCAACTTTGCCTCTGGACAGCCATGGCATGTTATATCCTGCTTCTCAGCACAAGAGCCCATGTCCATGGCAATCACCAGGCAGTGTGACCTTAAAGGCTTAATGTAAAATGGTTGTGCACTCTGATCCTCCCAAGTCAAGAGGTCTCTTCTAAACTGGGCACCTCTACACAGTGTGGTAAACAGCTCCACACTTGTCCAGTACATCTTGTAAAAGATCTGCCTTGGCTGATTCTAAGGAGTTGAGGAAGGGTCAAATCACAGTGTATATTCATTATACCTCCTAAGACTTATCTCCAGGGCATATCAGGGTATAATGAATAACAAAGGCCTTGAAAAGAGAAATAAATTAGCTAAGAGTTGGAAGAGGGTTGGAAAGGGACCAAGGCAGTCTCATAGATTATACCTGTAAGTATTTAATACTACTTTCCATTTACACGTATTATCACATGTACCTTGCCTTGTTTTCATGAAGTAGAATCTAGTAGCAAACAAAAGAAGATAGAACAAGTATTTTAAATCCTGTTTTACAGGTGAGGCAAGAAAGCTCTGAGATTTTTCTTTGTTCTTAAATGTTGCATTCTGTGCAATTTTTTTCAGAGCTATAGGCCAATTCTTTTTTCTATTTATCTGTGTCTAATTTTCTGTTTAATGCATCCACAGAGCTTGTGCTTTTGACAATTTTATTTTTTCATTTCTTAAAGTTTTATGCAGTCTTTAATACAAATCCACCTGTTCATTTTTGGTGGTCATATACTGCTTATTAATTTTTCCTACTTTGTGTCAATTCATTAAAAAATTTCTTTAAATATTTTATATGTAATTATTTACTGTTCTGAAACCAATTCTTCTAATAATACTGTCTGCAATCCTTAGTGGTTCTGGTTCTGTACTTTGTTATTTCTGCTGACTCTCATTCATGGTGGTTTGTTCTTGTTTGTGTGTATGTATTGAGGTCATCTTAATTTGTGGATCATTCTTTTAGGATACAGTTTAATGTGCCAATTAATGTACTAATTTTTAATAAAATTTCTCATCTTTATTGTTGGCTCAAGGTTTAATCTTCAATTTCAGTACTAATATTCCAATGTTCTCAGGGCAACCTTGATTTTTCCTTTGTGCTTACCCAGATCACTGCTGATTTTGGCACACTTTAATTTTTTTAAGAGTTTCCATGTTTCCTGCAGCTTCAGCAATTAAAAAAATTGTGTTATGCAGGATATGGGATGTCCCCTCACAGTATTAAAATATCAAGTCTCTGCATTACAAAAAGCAGACTTTTGACATAATCTTTAAAATAATCACATAATTTAATCAAAAAGTAAGAGAATATATTTTTTCCCTATATTTCTAGGCACTAATATTAATATATTCATTGGTACAAGTTTCCAAGAATAGGTTTGGATTGATTATGAGGATGCTAGCAATTGAGATTTAATTTTTTCAGAACTAAAGCTTCTTACATTATGGTTTAACACAATTGTCTTAAAATGGTTGTGAAGAGATTTTAAAATTGCAATGCTTTTGTTACTGGCATTTAACATTGTAATACTCTTTTAGTGCCATTTAAAACTGTAATGCTCTTGGTAGTGGTATTTCTTCTGTTACTTCAACTCCAAGCAAGGGTTCATATATGGGTCAAGGAAACAACTAGGTTGTATGAAACTTTAGAAGAGAGAAGCAAAGGAGTTAAGTATTATGACTACCCCATTTTTTCAATCTCTGGTAACTTGTCTATTGCAACTGGTGAAATAAGATGAGCTCCTACTTAGCAGTGAGTAAAATGATCCCTTTTAAAAGGGAAGTGGGTTGTCTTAGTCTGCTTGTGCTGTTATAACAAAATATAGTCATGCATTGCTTAACGACGGGGATAGATCTAAGAAATGTGTCATTAGGTGATTTCATCATTGTGTGGACATCACAGAGTGATAGAGAGTACTTATACAAACCTAGATGGTATAGTCTAGTACACACCTAGGCTATAGGTATAGCCTATTGCTCCTAGGCCACAGACCTGCACAACATGTTACTGTACTGAGTACTATAGGCAATTGTAAGTCAATGGAGAGTATTTGCATACCTAAACATAAAAAAGGTAGAGTAAAAATAGTGCATAAAAGATAAAATATGGTACACATGTAAAAGGCACTTACCATGAATGGAGCTCCTAAAACCGGGAGTTGATCTAGATGAGTCAGTGAGTGAATAGTGAATGTGATGGCCTAGGACATTACAGTACACTATTGTAGACTTTATAATACCGTCACTTAGGCTACACAAAATTTACAAAACAAAATTTTATTTTTTTCAATAATTAACTATACCTGACTGTAGCTGTTTACTTTGTAAAGTTTCAAATTTTTTAGCTTAGTAACTCTTTTTAATAACACTTCTTAAAACACAAATACATTGTACAGCTGTACAAAATATTTTCTTTCTTTATATCCTTTTTTCTAAAAGATTTATTTTTCTATTTTTATTTTTTACTTTTTAAATTTTTTTGTTAAAAACTAAAGCACAAACGCACCGCACCCATTAGCCTATGCCTACACAAGGTCAGGATCGCTAAGACATCACTAGGTGATAAAAATTTTTCAACTTCATGATAATCTTATATGGGACCACATCATATATACAGTTTGTTATTGGCCAAACATCCTTATTCAATGTATGACTATACCTGAGACTGGGTAATTTATAAACAACAGAAATTCATTTCTCACAGTTCTAGAAACTGCGGGAAGTCCAAGACCAAGCTGCCATCAGGTTTGGTCTCTGGAAGGCCCATTCTTCATAGACGTACTTTCTTGGTGTCCTCACATGGCAGAAGGGACAGAAGGGGGAAAGAAACTCTCTGAAGCCTCTTTTATAATGGCACTAATTCTGTCACCTCCCAAGGTGAGGTGACCCCACCTCTCAATATCATCACCTTGAGGGTTAAGTTCCAATATAGGAATTTTGGAGGGACAGATACACTCAAATCAGAGCTTGGGCCAATGTCAATTTCAATGGGTCCATGGGTCAATGTTAATGTCAAAACTAATGGTGCTACGGTAATGCAAGTTGTTCCATTGGGGGAAACTGGGTGACAATACCAGGACCTCGCTATAAGGCTATTTTGCATATTCTTGTGAATTGACCATATTTAAATAAAAAGTTTAAAAAATATGAGAGTGGAAGCTAAGGTAAGTCCTAGAGGGAGGGGGATATAAAGGATGTTCCACCTGCCTCTGATGAGGCCTTAAACAAGTAGGGGAAAGGGAGCCTTTGGGGTGCACATGACTTGTTCTAATTCTCCAAAGGTGTTGTGGGCCAAAGCCCTAAGGAGTGATAACAAACATTCATTTGCCTGCTGTATACTCTGTTATGAAATCCCTGAGTGACTCAGCAAGGTGACAGGCAGCTGTATGAGGGTGCAAAAAACCAGTCATCTTCTCCGTGGAAACACAACTAACAGCCCCTTTTAGATGTACAGTGTTATTTGGATAGGTATTAATGCCAAGCTTCACAAGCAAACACCATAAAATAGCACCATAGGAAAAATAAACTCTATGGAGTCTATAAAAGTAAGAGAAAACATGACTTTTAAGGCAGATCATTTAAAATTATACAGGGATAAAGTAGGATCTTTTAACCAGACTAAGGACAATTGTAAACATTTGCAAACACTCCAGTTTGTTGTACAATGTGGCTGTGAGTAATTGCAATAGATGCTTACATTATGAAATCATTTTCGATACAGTAGTAACACTTGACAGAAAAATTGCAAATAAGGAGGCATGTCCCTGATTCTTGAGCCTTATTAATATTTTAAATCAATTAACAGCTTAATGGATAGGGTGGGGGAAAGGAACAAACTAATTTAGCTTAAGCAAGCAACTTGAACGGTTTCTACTACTCACCATTTTACATTATACTGAATTTCCATTTGTATTAATAACTTATTACTTCTATTAAACATGCATTTTCCCTAAAGCTTAATGTTTCTTCGGTGGGTGAAGATCAATTAACTGGGACAGTGTTTTCTTAGCTAGCCAATTATTTTAATTACTAGAATTTTAACAAATGTGCTTGCTGTGCATAGATTTGACCAGTTGAACTCACCCAAAGAATGCACTGACTTTGTATTCCAAGAGATAGAAGGTGTTTAGTGACTATGAGGATGCCAAAAAAACTTTTTAGGTATTTAGGTTCTACACAGCGGTGGACTAACAATCCTGTGCCTCTATTCTATTACTTCTCATCCTAGTATTTACCTTTAACTTGGTGCCTTTCCAATCTGGCAGTCCTTTGTTCTTGTTTTTTATTCAGCTTCCTCATTCTCTTTGTGTAGAACTAAGGCTTGAAGGATGGGCAGGCAATTACTGTAACTAAGGAGAACTATTAAATATAATGTGGTGGGTGGGTGCAACTCAACTATCACAAAACTTGAGTAGTTTGCTTCCTTATTCTTCTGAAACTCGTACTAAAAATGAGTGAAGTTTATGTTTAATGAATATTGATGAGTTAAAAACAAAAGTAGCGAAAGAGCATTTCATTCATTAACACTCCAAGGGGGTGACAGATGCTTAAAATGAAGGAAGGAGAAGCACCAGGAAGACAGAGTTTGTTTGGAAGGTTGGTACCCTCCAGGCAGTGCCAGGAAGCCAGTCATTTTCATGCAGATGACAGAACTTTCTGAAGGCCAGGTTAAAAAGTCCTTGCCACCTTGCAGAGACACTAAATAAACAAATAGAAAAAGAATGCCAGTCATTATGTGAAGGTTAAATATTAATATTCTAATAAAATAGGAAAGTTAGTAAATGGATTAGTAAAATGAGGGATATAACAAAGAAAGAGAGAACAAAATCAGCTTATAGAAATACAGAGCAAAGACAGCAAATCCCTCGTAACACACCCTAGTTTTGCTGGTGATAAAGGTGCTTGCAAAGGGCCTGTAGTGCTAAACGCAACATGCCACAGGCAATAGACTGCAAAACAGAGTGAACACAGTGAAAACAGAGACCATTGGAGACTCAGAAGGGGCTGAAAGAAACCAGGCTAAAATTATAATCTCAGCTGAACAACCAACGGAACCCATTCATTTATGAATTCTTTCTTGTTCTCATTTGAGCACTGATTCACTTACTACTTCATTCTACAAACCACTCCTTACTAAGATAGCGGTCACAATTCAGTCCATCTGTATGTGGCCTATCCTGGCTTGGTCTCACCAGAAAGCAGAGCACAAGCTCCCATGCTGCTTCTTCTTTAGAGAGTGCCATCCCCTGGAAGCAGAAACCAGAAAAGTCGCAGTGAGAACGGAAAGGTGGGGAGAGCAAATCCTACAGTGTGTTATTGAGCCCGGTGCTGTTTGGGACCCAGGGCAACTGATGGTCAGTCTTTCCAAAGTGTCTCCTGAGGCCCTAAGAATGACCGTGCCTCAGGATAACGGGGTGCTGTGGAGAAGAATTTATTTCCTGGCTTAGAAAACTTGGGCCATCTCTCTTCAAGGCAATGGGGCAGGGCTAATGTGCAAAGTGAGCGGCAATAGTGACCTGCCTTGCCAGGAGGTGAAGTGTGGCCAGGTTGTGCTCACATGAAGCTGGTTATGGTGCCGGTGGGTGACGCAATGGCCAACGGCGTAGGGTGAGGTCGAGAAGATCTGAGGTGGCACCTAAAGGGTATCTAATACACACATTCCTTGGAGATATTAGTAATTGTTAACTTACCTACATTGCAAATCTGGTTATAATTGTATCCAGATAAAATTATGCTTTTGTGTTATTCTCAGATTCTTTTTGTTCTATATAGCCTCGATTGGAGGATCCTGATTTAGGGCTTATTTTACAAACACTCAAAACTTTTTCAAGCCATGGTGCTTTCTTTCATTAGCATCCAAAAAATCAATGATTCAACACGATGCTTGGCTGATTCATCTCTCAGTCATGTTATATCAAGCATGGACAATTGTCATGGAACATTTATTATGTGCCCGCCCCTGTGACAAGTGATTCTCATGCATTATTTCCCTTAATCTTCTTTCTGTGAAAAGAATCATTATCTCCATTTTATAGATGGGGAATTTGAGGATCAGAGAGGCTAAGTAACTTGCCTATGGTTACACAGGTCACACCGTGATGGGGGAGCCAGACATGCACCCAAGCCTAGCTCTAACACTGGTACCCTTGTGTACTATGCCTGGGCTTTACCGCTGTCCCAGGACTAGCAGCATTGGCATTTTCAGGGAATTTGTTAGAAATACAAAGTCTTGCACCCCACCCCAGAGCTTCTGATTCTACAACTCAGGGGGTGCCCAGCAATCTGTGTTTTAATAAGCCATGCAGCGATTCTGACACTGGCTAAAGTGTAAGAACTGCTCTATGCTGATCTATCTTTACAGTTCATACTTGTACAGGATAAACATGTGTCATCCAGCGTCCCATTCACCTGTATTTTGATCACCTCAAGTTCTTTTTTGATATTGACATTGATTCTTATTCCTTAGACTCATTTGAGTTTCAGGAAAAGACACACACAAAAAAATATCCTTAAAGGAAAGACTGATATTCTTCAGTGTGGACTAATTTTCGAAGTGGTGTTAGGCAGACCATGGATTATTATGAATAAAAAATTGAAGGACAAACCAATATTCAGATTATTTTTATTGCATTTTGTGGTCTTGCTTCAATCTTGCCCTTTCCTGATTAGTTGAGATGAAAGAAGAGATGGAGGACAGTGAAATTAGTGAGCTTAACAATCTTCTTTAATGACGGTAAAGATACAGTTCTTCCACATATAAGCCCATTGCTTAAAAGACAGATTCTTGAGATAATATTCTTTTTATCTCACTAATTAAACATAAAGCTAGGCTGGGAGTGCTTTGGAGATGTGTCCTCATCAGCAGGGCCTGGCTCTCGTGGCAGTGTTTTAATTCAAGAAGCCTAATTTAATTATTAGCACCCTGCCACAGGGTCGGTTGCTGTGCTGCCTTGGCTCTCTGGCCTGAGGAGAAATGTGCAACCCCTGCTCTTTTTATTTCTAGTTAGCCTCATAAAAGGTAGGATGTCCAAGGAGAGAGAGGAGCTTTGCTTCTCCGTCATGTTTTGCATACGGTGCTAATTGAGCTGACAGTCTTGGACCACAGTCTGGTACGGCTGCAAGCTGAGTCTTGAGCTGATACCCAGTGAAGGGATTGCAAATGTCAAATGGCTCATCTTTGCCCTTCTGGCTCTTGAAATATGGAAGGGAACTGATCAGGGGGAACTCCTCAGTCTGCATGCTTGAGTAACTGCAAGCAACACAAAACTACGAAGAAATAAGGTATTCAAATCCTACTGGTAATGGCAACACCCACTCCTCACTCTCCCTACCCAGTGTGCTAATGAGGAAAGGAAAATGTGAAACTCCCTGGCTTCCCTAATTGCTGTGCTTTGCCCTCCTAACTTTTTTGTTCCTGCTTATCATGGTAAGAGTCTTGTTTCTGTCAATCATTTCTGGTTTTTTTCTGCCTAGAAAATAACAATGCATGTTTTTTGAGCCTTGAGATTATTCCAGCCCCTTCTCTTCCATAATTATAACAGGGAGAATGATGACGATGATTTTCTTTAAATATTACTTTGCAATAATGAGCCATAGCAATCAGGAAAAGGTTTGTTTTTTTGATTCTTCTCCTGTGGTAGTTTCCGAATTTTCCTCAGAACTATAGACCTGCAGATTTGTTCACTTTTACCACAATTCTAGATTATGAACTTGTGCTATTTTTCTGTCTTTTCCTCTGTCGCAGTAGAGGCAGCATTGTGTAGTGAACAAATCATGGACACTAGTACAGGATGCAACTAGTCTTGAAAACTGGCTCTATTCTACACTAGGTTGGATTTGTTAATTTGCCTCCCTGAGCGTGAATTGCCCACTTGAAGAATCAAGAAAAAAAATTCCCCCTTTCCAGGGCCATGCAGAAAATGAAGTCAAATAATATATTTTAAGCAATCTAAAACCACTCCTGCCACATAGTAGGTATTCAATAAGTGTGTTCTCTTTCTGTATTCACTCAGCATTTCCCTTGCTTGCAAAATTCTTTCTGGTTCTTTTATTTGGCTAAAAAGATTTGATTTCTCTTCTGATTTTATTTCAGGTATACATAAAGTCTGCTGGGTCTTGGCTCAAACTGTCTCAGATGTGTAAGATCGGCAGCTTGCTATTTGCAAAGATGAAGTTTTTTGGGACTTGAAGCTGATAGTTACTTTTACAGGGGAGAACAAATCTCTAGCTTCCTCATGTTCTCCTTTTGGATACGTGGTGATGTAACAATAACAACAAACACCACCGCCTGGTATGGTATGCCAGGAACTGTACTACACACTTTAAATCATTTGAAATCCTTACAGCAACTCTACAAGATAAATTTTATTATCACTACCTTACAGATAATAAACTGGAGCCCAGAGAAGTTAAGTGAGTGGCCCAAGATCACACAACTACTATGAAAAGCCTGAGGGACTCCAAAGCCAATGCTTATTGTTTAAGAGATAGAGAAAGAAGAAAGAAAAGAAGGAAGAAGAGATAGAGGAAAGGAGAGAGAGAAAGAGAGAGAGAGAGAGATGTCAGACATTTCATTTTAGATGGATTGTCTAGCATTAGCCTTTTCTCCTACCATAGCACCCATTTTTTTTCCTTCCTAGTGAAATGTCAGCTTTGGAAATAATTTAACCCAAATAATCACTCTGTTGGAATAACTCTCTCCTGGTGCTGCTGTAATTTGGCTTACAATTACAGTTAATTGAACATCTTCGGAGTAAGCTTAGTACTGCATGCATGTGGGAAAAAAATTAATGTGCTAAGCATGCAAAAACATGATCTTAGAAGTTCATTTTTACCAGCAGAAAAAGAAAGCAATTAGTGAGACATTTTTCAGCAAGGACAAAAAAAAAATACTAAAAAAAAAAAAAAAAACCATGGTCTGGAGACAAGCTCTAAGATGAACCCTGGGCCCCATTAAGAGTGCAGTAATGAAAAGGGTTTGTGAGCTACAGGTTGGCATCTGTGAAAAGGTTCTCCTTCTCAGGAATCAAGACACATTAGTCTCATTATTTGCAGATACTTGACAAGACAAGAGCCAGAGGGAAGCAGCAATATAGGAAATGCAGTGTGAAGAGAGGATGTGGCTAATTAGAGGAAAAATAGAAGATCTTTACAAATCTGTTCTAGAAAATCCCTTGCTAAAAAAGGGCATTTCAGAAGCAAACAGTCCTTCCTGTGGATATGCCCTCCATTCAGTAGGAACCTAGGAGGACACCTCATTTACCCCAGCACTGCCCACTGTCCTGATTGCAATTATGTATACAGTGATTCTTTTAGTTAAAATTATCTTTTTTTTCCTTTAAAAAAAAACCAAAACTTTCTAAGGTATTCCTTTCAACTCAACTCATAAAAAGATTAAGTCCCAAAGTATCCCAGGCTAGGTGCCAGTGCATTCCCTAGAGTAGCTGGAGCAAAGGGATAGAAGGAGAGCTATGGAGACAGGTGTTCTTTTAATCAGCTCCTTTTTTCTCCTCTATCTTTGCCGGAAGGGTTTATGCCTGAGCCGTCACCTCGGGTCCTTGGTCCTGCTTATTATAAAGCCCTCTGGGAACTTGCTTGGGATAGAGTACCTGTGATTCCAGAATAATTGGGTAAGGAAATGAAAAGGCTGGAGGCAACAAAAAGATAAATCTAGTTGGAAGTACCATGGTTTTAATTTCTGCCTCCGAATCTGTACTGGTGTATCCACAAACTAATCAGAGATTGTGGGAACTTATGACTTTGCAACTATAGGTTGTAAGAAGAGGCTTAAAGGGATTTAAGGGGGGGGGTTGCTGTTCTGATAGAAATTGCCTTCTAGAAACATAATTTATAATTGACAGAGGGAAAGTGGAGGAGAGAGGAGCTTGCCACAAACACCCAAGCACTTCCACTATCCAGTCCCATTTGTATGTGAGTCCACATTACTGCAGAAGGAGGAGAAAGCAGATATGCCTAAATGCAGCCAGTCAGAGTCAGGCTCGATATTCCTTTCTTTGCTCTTTAGGCCTCTATTTGTCCTCTTTGGATATAGAGCAGTGGTTCTCAACTTGGGGCAATTTTTCCCCTAGCGCACATTTAGAACTATCTGGAGACATTTTTGATTGTCATGATGATTGGATGTGTGTGCCTTAGAATTCTCCAGAGAAAAAGAACCAATACTATATGTGTCCGTGTGTATGTGTGTATGTGTGCGAACATATTTATAAAATATTGGATCACAAAATTATGAAAGCTGAGAAATCCCATGATCTGCTCATAAGTGGGATACCCAGAAAAGCTGGTGATACAGTTCGAAGGCTGAGAGCTGGAGAGCTGATAGTGTTGACTTCAGTTTGAGTCCAGAGTCCTGAGAACCAGGAGTGCCACGGGCAGGAGAAGACGGGTGTTCCGGCTCAAGCAAGTCAGGCAGAGAGGGAGCGGATTCTCCCTGGCTCCACCTTGCTGTTCCATCCAGGCCCAGGATGGATTGGATGACGCCTACCCACACTGCGGAGAGCCATCTGTTTTTGTCGATTTACTGATTCAAATAGAACCAGTCAAATAGTTTCTTCTGGAAACACCTTCACACACACACACCCAGAAATAATGTTTAACCAGATATCTGGGCATCCCATGATCCAGTCAATTTGACACAGAATGTGAAGTATCACAGGGGTTGTTACTGGCATCTGGGGGTGGGGGAGGGGAGAGGCCAAAAAGTTGCTAAACATCCTACAGTGCACAGGGCAGCCCCCTACAACAAAGAGTTATCCCATCCAAAATGTCCATAGGTGCCAAGGTTGAGACTGTTTGATTGAAAGGATGCCCAGTCTTCTTTTGCTAATTTTATTTCTCTTGCTGAAGTCAAAAGCAGTGATTATCATTGGAACTTTACGGGTCCCTGCCTGTTTTTTCCAAGTCTGTCTTTCAATGGCAAAACTATTTTGTCCGGTGAAAGTATTTTGTCTGTCTTCCTAGCTGAAACTAGAACGGAGGGCAGATTTCTCATTTCTTGAAGGCAGCAAGCACCTTAGGCATTCTCCCACCACACTGTGCCAGACTCTGGTGTAAATGGCAGGTTTGCATGGTTTGCATGAACGCTGGTTTCATAACTGACCTGAGAGCATTTATGATATCTTGATGCTGACAGCAACAGGTTGCCTAAGTAGAGCACAGAGCCCTCGATATGACATGGAAAGGAGACTAAATAATTAAGTGCTATATTTTTATAAGCTTCTTGATCTGAAGGTCATTACTCCTTTTTACCAATATGTCCGGAAGAAAGTATACTCAGTGGAAGTCTTGTTGAAATGAAACGCACTTCTGAATCAATTTTCTATTCCACCAAAGAATCTTTAATCACAGAGCTGAACATCAGAAGTAATATAATGAGATAAGAAAGTGAACAATATTCTAAGAAATCAAACTCATGGGCTCTCAAACACAGGTCTACATAATTCAATTTAAGAAAACATAATAATTGTTAAGCATCCACTGCAGACTTAGGCCCTATCTCCAAGTAATAATATAAATCTATTTTTTCATTTTCAAAATTAAAAACCATTCTTCACATACCTTCTGTCTTGGTTCTTTTGCATTTCATTCTTTAGGCACACATCCAAAGCCCAACTTGTAGTAGGGAATTAAATAGGACTAGCATAAACAAGCCAATTTAAGGAGACCTTAGAGGGTAAAATATTATAATTGGAAGCAAGCTTGCCATGATTTGAATTGCTGCTGTCAGTGTGGAGGAAAACTCTCCTTAGGTATATGCCGAATGACGTCAGCTGCTGTCCTCAAAGCTGCCACTATTCTGGCAAGAATGAAAATGCATCGGGCTCATGGGATCAAATACATAGCCTGCATCAGAAAAGAAAAGTTCGGTTAGTTCAGTTATTACTCATTAGCCTCTCATTATATCCCCTTGTTTTTCTTAACCAGGCTGATCTAGTGCGATACACAGTTTACCAGGCAGCTCTCTCACATAATGTGAACAGAGAGTCTGGACAATGGTTGCTGGTGAGTGGTTGCAAAGCAAAAGCAAAATTTATAATGAAAACAGAGAGATGAGAACAAATGAATATAAATGACGGGTTGCTGATTTGGACCTAAGCTGGCCAGGTAGCGTCCGGGATTTGGAGTAAAGAAGGGTACAGTTCAGGAAACCCATATGTCAGGATGACTAAAGGCACATAGACTTTCATGTTGGGGAAATCTGGTTTTAAGCGCGGGCTCCACTACTTGCTGGCTCTGCGATTTTTGTCAACTTTTCTAAGCCTTGGTGTCTTCATCTATAAATGGAGAGAAATAATAGTACTTATTCATAAGGTCGGCAATGTCCATATGACAATTAGCAGTGTCTTACACACAGTGAGTGCTAAACAAATGATGGCAAAAAAAGGAAGGTGGAGGCAGCAATACAGAAAAAGGAAAGAGTCTTTCTCTACAGCAGGTTGGCTCTGTTTGTTTTCTTCTCCTTGGTAGCCAGGTTTTTAAGTGTACATCAATGCTTAGGTCTAAATACCAGTGGCTTTTGACACCTTTTGAAGCAATAGTCCTGGGTGTGTCCAGAGAAGGGCCCCCAGTGGTTCAGGATCAGGCCACTGCCCTAGAAAACAAGAGGAGCGTGAGTGGGGGCAGCTGGTTGCCTGTTCACGATGAAGTGAGGAAGCCACCCGTTGCTTCTCTGAAAATGGGCACATTTGTCAACCGCTATTGCTGCTTTTCCTCCCCTTTGATAGCTGAGTTTTCAGAACCGACCCAGCCATCTACATTTTCATTAAGAGAGCTAGCAATATGCAGTTGAATAGGCATATTTATTTTCATAAGAAAAGTCTCTGTCAAAATATCATAGGCAGCACATAAACTCTTCTGAGAGGAAATGCCACTGCAGCTGACACTGCTGCCAGCTGGCCCCTCCTGCTCACCTCTTGCGGGACTGGCCCTCGTCAGAGATGCGAGAGGTCGTGATGGGGAGAGAAGGCAGGACACACATCACTGAATCTTAACCCTGGGTGGCCTAAAACATAGTCTACATCCTAGAGAAAGATATTTCCTTTCATCCGGCCTAAAAATGTGGCTTCCTTTTAGACATAAATAGATTCTTTAATAAGCTGGTAATCCTTTTATGACTATAATCAAACTTCCAGTGTACCACATGCAATTTTCCTAGCCTGTGATGTTCCAGTGTCTCTCGTCCCACCGGACTCCAGTGGAAATCTGATTGTGAACAGACATCCCACCAGTGTGGGCGGGCTCTCCCTCGGGGATGGGGTAGCAAAGTCAGCAGGGCATTGAGGCTGGCATTTATTATTATTACCAGAGTGTAAGGACAGATGTGTTAGGCTCGTGTAGCCATTCAGTGGAAGAGGGACTCAACTGAATTTTGACCACAGGCTTTCGGAAAAGACTGAGCCATGTCTGCATGTTTTGTTACTTTAGGGTGAAAGGTCTCAGGTAGAGAGAAAACAGTTATGTATTTAATTTTATCTTCATTCTCTACCTCTGCTCTTTGCAGGGAGGAAGAAAGAGCTCATAAAGTTGCTGTTCTACCACAAATGGTTTATGAAGTGGAATTGAGGGCAATTAAAGGGTTCTTTCTTGTATGATGTGATGTTGCAAGTAGGAGAGATTAAAAATATCTTCTTTGTCTACAGGGACTCTCACTCCATCTAAACGCCCTAATGTTTTCTTCTATCCCTGGCACAGGTACACATAAGAAAATTCAACTTTTGTATTATTACATCACATTCATCTTACTTCTCCATCTTGAGGAACTCTTCTTAAAAATTTGTTTCTTTAAGAAACAAATCTTTGAGTTAAAGAAATGCTTCATCTTGAAACTTCACCATGAAAGGAAAGACTTCTGGTCAAAGCACACACTTCAAAGGGCGCCCTATATTTTGAGGTTGTGAAATTGCATCCATAAAGGTTTGAGGAAATGATATTATATCTATTAAAAAATGTGATGATGTGACACTTGGAGCACATTTTCCCCTCACAAGAGTCTGTTACTGGACTGGCCAATTATGTTGTAAAGCTGCTGATGAAAAGCACTCAGCTGCATTCTAGACACGTATTGGGAGTCAGAAGCACGGAGTTTCCTTTCTTTAATGTACCCAAGTAGTTTGTCTGCATCTATCCAGACATTTTTTCTTTGTTTCTTAAAAGCTCTCTAATGCCTTAGGTAATGGTACTCTGCAGATGAGGTGAATTGGTGAGGATCCCAAAGCCCAGGGTTTCTGGGGTCTTTGGCCACCTATATCAGAGAACCAGGCATGCATCATCCAATTTATTCTCCCCCAAACCCAGCTCTTATAATAAATCTGATCTATTTAACTGACAGACATTTTTTTCAGTCCTCCATATAGTCAAAGGAAGTTGCGATGAATAAATGGGCCTATTGTGCTCAAATTCCAATTAAATATAGAGCCTCTCAGGCTTAAAGGTTGGAAAAAGGACATCTCAGCCCTAGCACATTGATATGGCAGCTGATGATAAAGGCAACTGTCCATCTTCTGGCTTCCAGAAGCTGCAAAGAATTTTGTTAATTATTTCAAAGACCTTTATTAATTCTTTCTGAATCAGCCCTGTGAAATGGATCCCATCAACTCTTTCCTCACCTCCTCTCCTGCCATTTGAAGGCATGGCTGGATTCAAACTTCACCCCTGGGTACCTGGCTAAAGGGGAAAGAATTCCCCTAGCATATTATGTAATTGAGGGAGCTCATGTCTTGTTTTTCTTCTCCCTACCTACACACCCTATATGTGGAGCTTAGAAGTAATGCATTCAATAAAGTTTTGACAGAGTGTTTGGAATGCCACAAGAGGCAGGAGAGGCATACACACACACACTCACACACACACACACACATGCAAGCTCACACATACACACACACACACACACACACGCACACACACACAAACACACAAGCTCACATAGGTGCTCACACACACATAGTATTAAGCTTAACAGTAAATGTAGAGTTAAAAAAAAACAAGATCAGATTTTGTCCTTGTATAATATAATATTTTTAAAGCATTTGTCATTTTTAGACATTACATATACAATGGTTTCTCTTTTTTTATCAAGTAGATATCACCTTCTTTGGGGTAGTTTACGTAATAAATCTAAACAATCTGTCTACGTACCATATTTGTCAATTGGTGAGTACTGAAGACTTCTTTTCATGTCCTCCAAAGACAGGCCTTGAGAGGAACATTGTCCAGCACTGGAAAATTAATGAAACACATAGTTTAACACTGTGGTAATTTGCTGAAAACATTTATAGTAGATAGAATTTATTCACTCAGCATAGATCCCAGAGAAATGCCCAAATGCTACAAAGATGTTTTTATCTTATAAATTGGCAGTCCCCAACCTTTTTGGCACGAGGGACTGGTTTCATTGAAGACAATTTTTCCACAGACCTGGTCAGGGGTCAGGGGGTTAGGAGTGGTGGAGGGGAAGGGCTGAGGTGGGGGGGAGGCAGGGCTCAGGCCATGATGTGAGTGATGGGGAGCGATGATGGGGAGAGACTGTAAAAAAAGAAGAAGTTTCACTTGCTGGCCTGCCGCTCACCTCCTGCTGTGCAGCCCAGTTCATAACAGGCCACAGACAAGACTGGTACTAGTCCCAAGGATGGGGGCTTGGAGAGTGCAGTGGTTAATGACTAGTTCGGTAAGAGTTCAGAATTATTTGGTCTAAGTCAGATCTAAGAGTGAGCCCTGGCTCTTAGGTTACAATTTCTGGCAGTATAACCTAGCCATGTCACCCTTTCTCAGCCTGTTTAGTTATCTGTAGGATGGAAAAGAACATAAATAATTTCCAGATTGTTGTAATGATTAAACATAAATAAAAAGGGCTATTGAATCTAAATCTAGGTTAATATGCTTTCAATCCTTACTTAAAAGAAACTAAGACAAAGAACATTATTATCTTAGTAATAATATAAGTAAAACACATCCCAAGAAGTATCATTATTATTATATTGCCATTATTATAATGAGAATTATAAGATAGAGTGATAATAAAATTTATTTCATGATTCCTATGTGTTAAGCATTTACATATAATCATCTCATTTAATCCTTATCACTATGGTATCATTTTTCTCATTTACAAATAAGAAAACTGAGGCTGGAACAAATAACTTTTCACACAGGTTTGATAAATGGTTACCTAGGATCAAAACCCAAATCTTTTAGATTCCAAAACTTATGTATTTATCAACTCTTCGAATGTGAATTTTTTCCTGATTCCTACTCTTCATTGCTCCTTCTTTTTTCCCCAAACACCACCTACTCTCCTACCATTTTGATTAATGGGGTCACTTCCTTTCTTGTTCATCAGACTCAGAACCTGAAGTTATCAAAGCCCTCTTTCTAATATCTAATTGCATCTGTCAGTCAATTATGTATCTATAGTCTCTCTTGCATCCATTCATCCTCTACCATTCTCAAAGCAGCTACCCTGGTTACCCCCTAAATGCCCTCACTATGTCCATAAAACATGAATTCCCAGCACCCACGCCAGTTTTCTCCATTTCAATTATCAGCACTATATTATTCAGTATCTTAAGCCAATATTCTTGGAGTCATCCTTATTAGTACCTTTCCTTCTCTCATATATCTCACTCAATTCAAGTGTTTTTAGCTCTGCCTCCAAAATATAACCCTAATCTAGCCCTTCTCTTTCCTCCTCCAAGGTCTAGGCCATATAGTCTGTTTCTTGTCTGGACCTCTCCAATTTGCCCCGTAATTGGTCTCCCTGCTTTCACTTCTGACCCCTTATAATCCATTCTCCATATATTGTGCAGAATGATCTTTTCATTCCCGTGGCTTTGCAGTTCATTTAGAATAAAATACAAATAAGTGCTCTACCCTCACCAACAAGGTCCTGACCCTGCCTACCTCTCAAATCTCACCCTGTACCTCTGTCCCCATCTTTGGCTAAGCACTTCTTTTTGGCACTTACTTGTCTCTCTTGTTCTCTACTATATCCTCAATACTTGGAACAGTGCCTGGCACATACGAGAAGCCCAACTCATTTTTAGTCAATTAATAGATTCCTAAATGATGTCCTTCCCTCCAGTCACTCAATCCTACCCCTAAACAAGATTTTAGTATAACACAAAAATCTTACCATAGAATTCCCTTGCTTTCCCCTCCAATTCCTCAAGCCTGTGTTCCAAGTCCTCTACAATCCACTCCTCCCTGCGTTCTGTGTGCATCTTGTATTCCACAATTCCTCAATACCTTTTTTAAATCAAGTTCAAGCCACACTAATGGACTTTAGATTTTCCAAAATTTCCTGAATTTTCTTTTCTTTGTGGTTGTGGCTGAGCTGTTCCCACTGCTTGAATGTGCTTATTGTCGTCTTCTTTATCCCTAACAGGAAGCAGTATGGTGTTAGGGTTAAGAATGAGCACTCTAGTGCCAGGTGCCTTGGATTTGAATCCTGACCCCATCACTTACTACTCTTGACTTCTGGCAAGTTATTTAACTGCTCTATGCCTCAGTTATGCAACAAAATGGGAATTATAACAATACTTAGCTTACAAAGTTAATAGTAATTATTTAATAAAAAGTTAATAATTTTAAAGGATTTTAAACACAGTTGGCATTTAGTAAGTACTCAATAAATGTTGGCTACTTTTCTTATTCTTCAAGGTCCAGCTTGAAGGCAGTATCTTCTTTGAAGCCCTCTTGAAAACCCCCAGTCAAAATTAACCTGTCCCTCTTCCATACCTCCTAGAACTTTATACTCCTACCACAGGGCTTCTCAGAGTCTGCCTGGGTATTGAATGATCTGCATTTGTATGCTAGTGAATCTTATTACACAGAGAGTTCCTGGAGGTCAGAAATTCTGTCTAACATTTTTGGATCCCCCATAGGGTTTAGTCAATACTTTGTAAATAGTTAAAATAAAAGTGTGTTGAATGAAATAAAATTAAGTTTTTACAAAACATACATTTAGATACATCAGATTTTTCTAAAAACTAACATTAGTTCACATTGATTAATTCACTTAGCTGCCTTAAAAATGACCACATTTTTTAGCCTCACTTCCTTGAACTATAGAGATGCTGTTTCTCAAAGCAATGATTAAAAAGAAGATAAAGTTTTGGCTTCGAGAGGGACATGATGTGATCTCAATCAACATTAAATGATAATAGAATGTCACTCAAGATATTTTTCAAATTGTAATTTCTTTTATTAATATATGTATCCTCTTTAGCACTCCAGCTCCTCTTAAGAAATGTGCTGTACACAGTAGTCTTGGCAACAAAGATAATAGGAAATAAATATTTTATCAACAAAATGGCTATCTGGTTTCCTATGAATAAAAGCCCATCTACAAGATGCTCTGTTTGTTCAGTTGCTAAATGCAATTCATACCAGGGGACTTAACCTGTTTGCCCAAGAGATACCACACAGGCTGGCTCCAGGTTGTTCTAGGATGACAGACAGATGGAAGCTAAGCATGCCCAGGTCAAACAAAACAGAAGAAACAAGATCCTGATCAACGAAACCAGTTGTTCTCAACTCATGTGAATCCAGACTTCAACAAGGGTTTCACAGATACCCAGAGTTTAAGGTACATCAGGAACTCTGTTTGCTGAAGTTGTGGTCAGTGAAAATAAGGCACTTCCAGTCATGCAGCTGCCCCATGAGTTCAACAAAAGTAAGTGTGAACTAATGGCAGGTAAGGAAAGCACTCAGTTTTGGAGAATTTCAATATTGCTGGTCAACGAGTTAGTTTCTTTATGCTAAAAGGATGATATATCTCATAGATAGGCATATATGTGAATGATATATAATACCATACAGGTACTTTCATGTATGAATTTTGTGAGTTTGGAATGAAGTTTTCTCTTATAAAAAGAGAATAAGATAGTCTTTAGGTTAGTTTTTGTATACTACCACATTATGCTGATATATTATATTTTAGTGCTAAAAAGTTTGTCATTTTAGGCCAAATAATTCAAATTAGCTCTGTGTATATATGTAGATATAAATATAATCGTCAGTCATTGTCTCTTATAAAGGTGCATTAGGCAATGAATAATTTATCTAAAATGAAGAGTAGAAACAAAATTTTAAAAATGTATGTCTTATTTCTTAATCCACATTTTAGGAGTAGAGACTTCCTAGTAAACATCCTAATTAGGTCAGTTTACATCCAAATCCACAATATGTATTCTGTATTTCGGGGTGTGCATATCACTCAGGCCATGGCTTGTCAGAACAAATTAGTCTGTTTGCAAAGGATCACATTTTCTGTGAATAGACTTATAAACCCTGGGCAAAGGCAGAAACCATGGCATTTAAAACTAATGACAGAAGACCTATGAAGAATGGAAAAAGCGCTAGAAGACAGAATATATGTAAATATAGCCTCAACTCCCCAAAACAGAATAAGGCAGAGTCTACAAACTATACTAGTGAGTTAATGTACATTCCAGGTAAAGCTTCAGAAAGGAATGATTAAAACAGGTTTTCTGCACACTGATTACTAGATGCTACCATAAGTTTGTTAAGAAAAGAAAATAATTCTAGATTTGCTTTATTTCTCTTTGGTGAAGGTAAATATAAAGGGGAAATCAGTAGGCTAGAACATACAACTCAGTTCTAGAAGGATGTTGGACAGAGTTGCTCCTCACTGCTCCTCACTGCTCCTCACTGCTTTGTAAGTAAGAAACAGAGATCTGTGCCAGATGACAAACACTTAGATTGAATTGTTACTGGTTGCATGTCCAGAAGTAGTGAAGACATTCCTTATAAATGATATTCCCACAGGGTTAAGTTGTGCCTTAGACATTGATAATAATTAAAGTAAAACATCACATTTCCAAAGGTTAGAATTGTCCAAAAATAGATTGAGCTGTTCTAGAAAGGGGTACTGTCCTTTCCCAGAAGGGTTTAAGTGGAGGCTAGAGGTCCTATTGGCCTCAGGTGCTGTAGAGAGATCTAAGGGTCCACCTGGAAGTCACATGATACGACTCCCCAGGTCCCTTCGGTACTTATATTCTGTGATTCTTTAGAAGGCATTCATGAGTCATGTAGACTTGGAGAACCTGGCTTTGGCATGTTGGAAAGGCAGAGAGAGATTACACAGTTCCCACTTGGGCACTAGATTTTTATCTTTCTTATCTGAAGTGTTTGGCATTTGGCTAGGGCTGAGTGCCTGATTTTCACGGACATGTGATAGCATACCTGGCTATACGTT